TACAAAGTTCATAATGCAAAACTTTTTTTTAGTTCCTCCTATTAGCTCGGCTTTTACAGAAAAATGTATCTTTTAAATTGGAGATCAAACTATCTATAATAATATGAATGAGACCTCGATTCTTCTGTTTGTTTGATTGAAAAATAAAAAACAATCGAATTCACAATATTTCATGAAGGTTCGTAATTGTAGAAGCTAAGACTCGTTTTTTATCATTCAACAAGCATCTTGGATTTCATAAAATTTGGGGGCGATATAATCTTTACGTAAAGGCCACCCTATCCAACTTTCGGGCATTAAAATTTGTTTCAGTCGTGGCTGGCTATCATAAGTGATTCCTAACATATCATAAGATTCCTGTTCTTGAAAATCTGTACGTTTCCAAACCCAGAAAACGGATGGAATTCGAGGATTACTCCTGTGCATAAATACTTTTATGCAGACTTCTTCCGCTTGATTGACACCATATTCTATTCTTGTAAGATGATACACACTGGTTAAGAGGCCACCTGGTGCCACATCATATGCACACTGCGAACGTAAATAATTGTAACTATATACATATAAAATTACAGCAATATATGCCAATCTTCGGGCTTTATTTGTAAAGTCTCTATTCCTTGGTAATCGAAGCCCAACGATCTATGAATCACCCTGCATTTAGCTAGCCCAACGGAAAAAGTGCCCTGCATCGTTTTTTATTTCCCCCACACCTTTTTAATATAAAATAAGTATTTCACATTAGTTTTTTTTCTTATTCTCTAACCCCCCCCCCTAATTCACTAATTCGTGGGAAGATACTAGACTTTTGTATGTAAAAAATATTTCAGTAGAGATCTCTGAAGTAGAGGATGGTGGATAGAGTAATTCTTGATCATAATTTCCAGTATGCGTACTGCGTACAACAAAAAACTTGTGAGTGGTAGTAAAACACCGATTACCCTGTTGAGGTCTAATTCGATCCTTATAGATTTCTCTAGCTATTTTCTTACGAAGCTTTGTTATAGCACCTATAACAACCTCTGGTTTAGGTGGACAACCCAGCAAATAGACATCTACATGAATTAGCTTATCAACTCCTCGAACRGTACTATAAGAATCGGTACTGAACATCCCCCCTGTAATTGTACACATTCCCATAGTAGTAATAACATACTTTGGTTCAAGCATTTGTTCATATAATCTCACTAAAGAAGGAGCCATTTTCATTGTTACTGTACCTGCTGTTAAAATAAGGTCCGCCTGTCTAGGACTTGATCCTTGTACCAGCCCATAACGATCAAAATCAAATCGGGAGCCTATTAATGAGGCAAATTCAATGAAACAACAACTGGTACCATAAAGAAGCGGCCATAGGCTGGAAAGTCTTGACCAATTTGAAAGATCAYTTAACGTAGTTGAAATAACTGAATTTTTTGTTGTTCGATCAAGTACRGGAAACTTAATGGAATTCATAATTGGTTCAATGGTTTTATTTTATTTTTCTTGTACAAGTATTTAGGAAACGAACTAAGTCCATTCAAATACTCCTTTTTGCCATGCATAAACTAACCAAGAATTAGAATAAGCACGAAAATAAAAACTTATATAAAAGCATATAGCCCTTTGTACATCGAAACTCACTGCCCATGGATACAGAAAAACGGTTTCAACATCAAAAACAACAAAAACTAGAGCAAACATATGATAACGGATTCTAAATTGTAACCAAGCATCCCCGATCGGTTCTATACTTGATTCATAACTAGAAAGTCTCCCAGACCCCTTCGTAATTGGAGATAAAACTCCAGAAATTACAGATGCCAAAACAGGACTAGCATTTGATATTAATAAAAATGCCCAAAAAATATCATATTCGTAAAGCAGAAACATAGACGAACTCCTATGAATGTAGAAAAAATATCCGCTTAGTCAATTCCAATCGGAGTGGATTGGCCAAGGTATATAGAACTTTTGAGTCAAAAGAAAAACTCCGGTTAATCAAATCATTTATTTTCRTTTGGTTACTGTGGTAGAGTCTCATTTTTAGATTTATTGATTGTAATTTTTTTAGTACACTTATTACTTAATCTTTTGATGTTTCTATTACTAATAGTTTC